AAAGAATCCATCCAGGGGTGTGTGTGTGTGTGTGTGTGTGTGTGTGTGTGTGTGTGTGTGAGAGAGAGAGAGAGAGAGAGAGAGAGATTATAACAAAGAGACAGAACTTATATAGATAATTTGAATTTGTGTTGGGGGCAGCCCTGGTAGCCCAGCAGTTTAGTGCCTGCCTTCGGCCCAGGGTGCAATCCTGGGGACCTGGGATCGAGTCCCACATTGAGCTCCCTGCATGGAGCCTGCTTCTCCCTCTGCCTGTGTCTCTGCCTCTCTCTATCTGTGTCTCTCATGAAAAAATAAATAAAATTTTTAAAAAATAAAGAATTTGCGTTGGCCTTTATGTCTTGCATGATTCATTAATGTACCAATTTGGTCCTTTAACTAGTTGCTGCTTCTTTTAGAACTAAAGAGTTCAAACTGACAAAATGAATCAAGTGACTCTTCTGGTTCCCCTTATTTACATTTATAAGGGACATTGGACAAGTAACTGTACCCCTTTGAATTCTAATTTTACCATCATTAAAATAGTGATTGTTTGAACATTGGGAGATGTGCCATTATTCACATAAACACCCAGGAACTGACTCCAGTGCTGGTTGGCACAAGGCCTGGAGAACCTGATGAGTCTAATCATCTTCTTAAAGAGAAGTACAGTGAGTCTGTGAGTAATTTTGTCCTGAGCCTAACATAAGCCCTGGGTGTGCATGAACAGTGCTCCAGAAAGAATTTAGACTTTCCTGATATGGCAAGACCCTATCTTCAAGGACAGTCACCAGCAGCTACACACTTGATCAGGAACTCTTCTGCTTAGAGGGATACCACTTCTCTTTGATGCTCTTTGGCTTCCATTAAGTTTCTGTGCATATGCCTAAATAAAATGGGACTTGATCCAGCCTACAGTGTGCATATTCATTGGTATGGGTTCAATAATCCATAGATAACCCCACTGGAACTCTGTATTGGTACTTACCTGTGTGTAAACTGTTCTTTGTCCTTATATCCCCCTTTTTTTTTTAATTTTTATTTATTTATGATAGTCACAGAGAGAGAGGGGGCACTCTTTTTTTTTTTTTTAATAAAGCCTGAGTAAGCACCATAACCACTCATCTTAATATTGGCTACCTCTTGTACAGCTCCTGATGTGCAATGAGGCCTCAAATATTTAACCATGTGGAAAAACATAAGGCAGTTGTATAAGAATTTATGCTTTAAAATACATAACATTTCTTATTTTATTTGTACTTTATTGCCAGTAGCTTTTAAACTATGATTCCAAGGAATACTAATATTCTTTTGAGCTGAACTGAGGACTTTTGCCTCTCAAATCTAATAATAAGGGTCTTTTCTTAATTAACTGAAAATACCAATGAATAATGGGTTAATTGTTTCCATTTTTTAGTTCCCTACACCCTAAAAGCTCTGACTTTTAAGTCCATACCTGGTTTAGCACAGAATTCTGTTTTACTATTTTAATTTACATATTATTTCATGAAAATTGACTTTCAGGTGTTTAGATCTTTGAGCAGATAATGTTCACAACAATAGCAAGTGCTATTAATTCCTATTTATGGGAGTGGAGGTGGTGGTGGTGCAGATTTCCTGCATGAAAACTGCACAACAGTTCCATGTGCCATGCATAGCCTTTTTTATTTCAGCCTTACATCACTTCTATGATGTATTTTATCACCAGATTTATTTTTTTTTTGAAGATTTTGTTTATTCATGAGAGACATAGAGGCAGAGACATAGGCAGAGGGAGAGGCAGGCTTTCTGCAGGGAGCCTGATGCAGGACTCAATCCTAGGACCCCAGGATCATGACCTGAGCCAAAGGCAGATGTTCAACCATCAAGCCACCCAGGTGCCCCCATCACCAGGTTTTAAATGATGAGACTGTGTCACCAAGCATCCCAGTGTCACAGACCCAGGAAAGGTGAATCTCAGTTTCGCAGCTCCAAAACCCGTGATCCTCTCCACTGTACAGATGCATGATAGTTCTTAGAGTCTAATCTTACTGTTAGGTTATAAGCTCCTTTAGTGCAGAGATTGTTTCATTTACTTTTTCCCTCCCACAGAAAATTCTATGAAATTGGATGTGGTTGTCTCCCTTTAATTTCTGCTAGTGATGCTTGCAAGGTGGGCTTTCTCCTCTATTACCTATACCCAAGGATTTCCCCCAAATTGTCTCCAGTACTTGGAATTACTGATCTTCTGTTCCATACTAGGGTACATCTTTGTCTTTAATTTATAACTCAGCCTGTTCTGGCAGTCACCTACAAATGAGGCTTGGCAATTTAAAAAAACAAATATTAAATGAATTTTAAATTGCCAAGGGAAGGGTTGTTTAAAACTCTCTGAGATAGCAGTTCATATTTAAATATGCTCATTATTAATTCCAGTATGAAATAATTTATACTTGTTATTAACACATGACAACAGCCAAAGGAAAATTAGAAGATGACTCAACAGGAGACATTCAAGTGTGGAATCCAGAAAAAGGAGAACAAAAGTTAATCCCAATAAGTTGGGAGTGTGATTAAGAACTAGCTATCTTAGTTTGGTTTTTTATTTAATATTCCAAATAGTGGGTACAGTGGTACAAAAATGATCTTGTTCTGGGAGATACAGTGTAGTATTATGGCCTATAGATTGAATGCACAATCTCAAATTCATATTATCATAGAATTATGTCTTAAATAAGTTAGTGTTTTGTTATCAAAACAGCATACAGGGCACCTGGATGGCTCAGTTGGTTAAATGTCTGCCTTGCACTTATGTCATGATCCCAGAGTCCCAGGACCAAGTCCTGCATCAGGCTCCCCACTCAGTGGGGAGTCTGCTTCTCCCTCTGACCCTTCCCCTTCTCTTGCTCTCTCTGTCTCTCAAATAAATAAATAAAATATATATATATATTTAAAAAGCAGACATTGGTGGTAAGTGAAGATTCATAACCATGTCCTTAGAGTTGTAAGACAATTATCTGGGCAGCCCTGGTGGCTCAGCGGTTTAGCACCACCTTCAGCCTGGGGTGTGATCCTGAAGACCCAGGATCGAGTCCCACATCAGGCTCCCTGCATGGAGCCTGCTTCTCCCTCTGTCTGTGTCTCTGCCCCCCCCCCCCCTCTGCCTCTCATGAATAAATAAACAAAATCTTAAAAAAAAATATCTAGTGTGCCTTTAAGAAAAATATATTTATTATCCAAGAAGAATAACAAGTCCTCGCACTTCTTCTCTCACCCTCTGTCTTTCTCTCTCTCTCTCTCATGTGCACACACATATATTCTGTATATATTCATATATGTGTGTGTGACTCAGCTGAAAAAACAGTGCAGTTGTCAATCACTAAAATTTCCATTTCTGTGCCTCTGAATCAACTTATTTTTGGACCTCAGTGTCCCATACTGTTTTCACTTGCTTTCGATTTGTTTGTTTTTTAACCCAGTTTGAGATTGTTGGCATGCACTGTCCTGGTCTGGGTTAAATGTTTAGAAACAAACTGGAGTTTCATAGAGTTATTGCCATTCTCTTCATAATTTTTAGGATAATAGGTTACTTCTGAGGATATCACATTTAGACTGACTTGATGTTAATGGTAATTCAAAGTACCTGGATCAGGGGAAACAAATATTGGTACAGGACTGGGATTCTATTATTTTAAGATTTTTATGATATTTTATCTTCCTCTTATTTTCTTTTAATGTCTCATTCAAGAAGAGTTGCCAGCCATGTAACCATTGCTATGTCACTTGCTTAAGAAATTTTTAGATGGGAATAGAGGAATTAGGGAATAATGTAGTAAAATGTTTATTAATAAAAAAGAAATAATGGAACATAGACTTTATAATGCCATTTAGATAGCGTTTCATCCTCAGTGGCATGTTAATTTCTTATTATAAAAGAAGTTATTTATTAAAAAGCAACAGTGATGGAAGGTATTAGCATCTGTATTTTTGTACACAGAATAAAAATATTGTAGCACATATAAAAATCAGATTTGTAAATAACTTCAAGATGGATTCACTTTTTATAACTATCATGTAAAATGAGATATGAAAAATATTCTTTTAAACAGCAATAACTCCAGAGAGTTGGGGGAGATTTTTTTCAGAATATTGATAATGGAGAATCGCATTTCTACTGCTTTACATTTCTTCCCCAAAGCATGCAAATAAAAAGAAAGTTTTTACATGAGAGCAATTTTTAGCCCACAACAGGATTTTTTTGAGAGTTTCCTCTACAGTGGCCAATTTTGTATGAAACAAATTATTTTAGGCCTAATTGCAGGCAGACTAGTTAGGTCGCTAGCTCTGTTAAGGTTGAATTTCACTTGAACTTTGTAATAGTATGATCTTTTCTCAGAATTTAATAACTGGCTCAAATATTTAATAGTGGAAGCTTTCATTAAATTAAAAAGAAATCAAGATATATTTTTAGAAGAACTAACTTCTTTTCCTTATCAGTTTTATCGACTTTAGGAGAAAAAGAAGAGAATAGAACCAATCTCTTTCTGTACTTAAATAGACATTAATGCTATAACCCCAGCAAATAATTTATTTCAGTGTATATCATCCTTCAAAAGATCGGAGAATCACCAAATGGTGGCAATAACTATTCTCCTAGCTCTGCTGAATAGCAAATTGCACCAACGGTGAATCTCTTGTCTACTGGATAATCATTCTTTTTAGTACTCACATACATTCTCTAGATCAGTTTCAGATTGCACACCGTCAACTTCTTCATTGCCTAATAGTTTTTGGTTAAGTACAATGACTCATTTTGAAATCAAGTGGGGAAAGATGAGAGTTGAAAGATGTTGTTTCCATGTGTCATTCTGTAAATAGATGATAAAAGATCATGAAATGGATTAATTTACAAGCATCCTTAGAAATGGAATGTTTTGACATAAAAGCATGTTGTAAACCTTTTTTAATTAAATTGCATTGTACCATGCACTCTCTTCTCCCCAGGGTTCTGTTGACCTCTCACCTCTTATTTTGTCCTACAGGCACTCCACTGCTGGTGAGGAGAAGCAGTGACCCAGCGCCAGGCCCACCTGCTGATGCCCAGCCAAGTGCTTCACACCCCAGTGGCCAGAGTCTGAAACCTGTTATTCTAGTAGGTATCCTGCAGTTTGCATTTCTAATGAAAGATCAAAGTACCTTACCCAAAGACTAACTGGGACTTTGCAGTCTTAAGTAAGTTGATCATTAGAGAGCATTTGATAGGATATATAATAGTATTAGTTAGTGATAGCTACTATGAGCTATTACTGGAACACAAGTTCTAGTGGTAGCTATTAATTACATAGCACTGGTTATGTGCCAAGGATTCTTTTAAGTGCTTTACACTGAGTCATTTAAACTTTCACATCAAGGTAAGCACAAATTTTTGCCTCCATGGTACTGATAATGAAATTGAGGCACAGGAAGGTTTAGTAATTTGTCTAAGGTCACAGCTAGTAAGTGACACGGTCAAGAATCTAACCCCCAGGTGGTTTGGCTCCAAAGTCTGTGCTCTTAACCAGCACACTACACTGTTGAATTCCTTCCATCCTCCTGCTTTGAATTGCCCAAGGATATAATTTTATATGTTTTCAATGTGTTAATGCCGTGCTTTTTGAAGTCATACCATGATGAATGGTCATATAGTTTCAAGATACCATTTTCATATTATGTGGTGCCAGCACTGGGTTTCTAGAACTCAACACTCAAATTAAAGAAAAATAAAATTGTGTACCAGAAGTGCTTATAACAAGACACACTTATAACTGATCGGTTAAATGGAGAATGAATCCTGAAGAGACGATGTCCTCCTTTCATATGGTACTGTTGGATCTTTCTGATACATCCTGAGTCACTTGGAAGAGTTACAACTGTGGTCGATCCTTTGAAATAGGTGCAATAGGTGATCTTCAGTAGCATAGCCATATTAAAATGTATCCTAAGAGAAGACTCTTCCCCATTTTAAGTTTCACTCTCTATAGTGCCTTAAGAAAAATAAAACAATGTTTTAAAGCTATATAAAGATGCTGAATGAGCTAACTGGATTTTCCCAGTTTGGTATAAAATGTTCTTATCAAGAACCAGTGCCAATGTCTACGAATTGGGAGTCACTATACCAAACCATTGAGTATTCACTAATAAGTTTGTGGCAATATTTGGCATATTTTCTTGGTAAACATCAAAGTATTTGAGATGTAATGTTTCTCCACCATCCTTTTAAGGAAACATATTTAATGGAACATTACGTTAATAAAAATCAGGTGTCTGTGTTCTACTTTAATGGTGATTTTAAACAGAACCAGTATGTGGTAGGGTGTGTGCGTTTAACACACTGATTGAGACCATGTTAAGCCCAAGTATATTGGATTGGAGGAAGAGAAGCTATATAAATGAGAAAATTTAGTTTATTGCTTACTTTTACAATGTCAATATACCCCAAATCAGAATGTATCTGATTTTGTTACCATTAGTTACATGCAGAAAATCACCAGTATTTAGTTCAATGTTTTTATCACTTAGGTTCTACGTTTAGACCAATTGAAAATACTCGATACTGTTTTCCCTACAGGAAAAGGACTACTGTGTTTCTGTTAAATCCCATATTCTTGCTAAATTATGATACCACTGAGTTCTAGGTTGAGATATTTGATGAGGGAGCATATTATTACTAGCAAAGATGCAAATCCTAATTCAAGAAGAAAAGCTGGCACCCCAGATCCTTTTACCTAAGTGTATGCAAGTTACCAAGCAGTGACTGAGTCTGTGTGTATCAACAGTAAAAAGGGAAACACATTTCTTCCTCTACTCAGTGTTCTCTGTGGCTGATGAAATGCAGATCTGAGACCCAAAGAATAGAGTCTGGTCCTTGGCTTGCCATGGAATACTGGCACATCCTAGTCTTCTCTTTCTTCAATTGTAAAATAATGTCCAAGCAAACTTTAAGTCTTATCAGTCCAAGGTGTAGACATTGTGCCCTTTATCTTTCTATCTCTAGTCCAGGTACATGGAGGGTGCTCAGTGGACTTAGGAATGCAGACACATATTATTCTGGGAAAAGTTCTAGAATTTCTCAGCAGTTTATCTACTTTTTCTCATTTGGCTCTTCTCTCTGTTCCCCAAAAGATCCACCAGGTAAATGTTTATCTGCTCCAAAGTCTGGTTCCCCTCAGGTAAGAGACAGATAGTTTAACTGCTATACTATGAAGAGCAGGCAAAGTTAGTAAAGGAAGACATTTAATTGAGTCTATTTTACCTAAAAGAAAAATATGTCTATGCATGCATGTGTGTGTTATGATTTTATTCATTTATTCCTGTGTATCCTAACTCATGGACTATTTAGACATGTATTGTCCAATATTATAGCCGCTTGGCCTGTGTGGTTATTGAGCACTGGAAATGTAATTTGACTGTGATGTACATCATGGACTTTAAAGACTGAGATATTAAAAAAGACTAATATGAAAGATCTCATGAATAATTTTTATATTGACTACACATTGAATTAATACTATGGTATATTAGGTTGAATAAAGTATCTTATCAAAATTATTTTTACCTGTTCCTTTTTAAAGCATGGCTGCTAGAAAACTTCTCTGTGGTTCACATTCTATTTCTATTGGACAGAACAGCTCTCGATAGAAGTAAAATTGGATATAACATTAATGAAATGGTTTGAGACTCTTGGGAGGAGCTCTTTGAGTTGCACATCATCTCTGGAGTACCAGTCTTATTAGGTTTGCCTGGGGCAGTCATAGTCTGTGCCTCTTGTTTTGGCATAATTATTAAGAGTGTCCACACTAACTCTCAGAGGTATCCATGTATGGATGATAAATTATGTGGCACCCTACGTAGAGCCTCATAGTCACTTTCATGGTTTGCTCTGTGATAAGAGGACCAGGCTTGCAGGGAAACCATGGGAACCCAACCGCAACTCTCTCATCGGAGCACACTGCAGAGAGGGGTTGGTGTGGCCAGCGCCTTAGCCCAGGGAGAACAGGATTGGATTCCACAGATTCACTCCTATCTCTAAGATCTGATAGTTCTACTTGGTGCATCCTCTACAACTTCAGCGGCACCATACTTGATGCCTGTGGTTTAATAAGTGATGATGAATATAGGAATGTGTGATAATACAGCCATGGTGCAACTGACATGAAGAATAATTGTTTGAAACGCTCTGTTCAATTGCATTGCATTTCAATATCCAAAGGAAGAAAAACAATCAAAATTTCCATCTCTTAAACTGAGTGTTCACATGTACTTAATTCACAGAGGGCAGAGCCCCAAGTGGGTTATGTTCAGTCATTCCCAAGAAATGAAACTTACAACCCACAGCTTAAAAAAAAAATTGACACATTTGATTATGTTGAAATATTGCCTTTAAACCATAGTTGATGACTGTTATTTTTACTTGTACTTCATTAGACTGATTATAGCAGGAAGAATTTTCTTTGATGCCAAGAGATACATGTCTGTGAAAAGTTAGAAAAGTTGCACTTGTTTTCTGTCTGGTTACATTATTACAAATTGGTTATTTAAGACACCTCAGACAAGGTGAAGTTTTAAAAAGCTTTTAAATTAGAAAAATCAAATTCTCTACAAGCCTCAAATTCTGTATATTGAAAAGCCACCAAATCTCACTATTTGTTACTTAGAGTAGCAACAGCTAGACAGCATGGTAACTTATTTTCTTTCTTCTTCTTTTCATAAACCCATCAGTTAATCAGAATAGCATAATTATTAATGTACAAAGCATAATGACTATTTATCTTTCAAGGCAATAGAAAATCCAATTCTACTGACTGCTTTTGAATTAAAGAAAGAGAATCCTGGGGGCAAAATGTAATAGTGGGAGTCTGCTTATGGGATGTCTTACCTCACTTGCCTTGATTGTAACCTGGTGTTCTTGGCTTAAGGGCATGCCATAAAACCAAGTTCTTGAAATTGATGTTCCTGAATTTGTGGGTAGAAGAGAACTCTAAAACAGATGTGATTTTTTTCTTAATATCCGGTTAACTACTATGGTTGTTTTGTGTTTTAATGACTGTTTATAGTTTCACATTTAACCCCTAAAGCAAAATGATCCTGCAGGGCGAGTAAATTAAAAAGTGGATTCCTGAAAATTATAATGCTGTGGTTGTTCTTGGATAGTAAATGACTTTGTTTGTTCTAAACTGTTACTTGTCTTGCGTCACCAAAATAAATTAAGAAAATATTGGTCTGTCTCTTAAAAGTCCGTATCCATAATGTATACATTTTATTTTTAAAAAAATAACATGGCAATATTGAGGTTATTAAATTGAGAGTCCATGGATGAGTTTCAGAGGGTCTGTTAACTCTGAAGTTTTATGCGTGGACTGTTGCATGTGCATGCAATTTTTTGTGAAGGAGACTATTACTTTTTTTTTTTGAGACTTTGTCACTCATCAAATTTTAAAAGGAAAAAAATATCAAGAACTACTTATATGCAGGTTTAGGATGAAACAATATGGGAAACACATCAGTTCTCAGAATTTGATGAATGACAGGGATTAAGAGGTACAGGAACATTCTCTGTGTTGTGCAGACAATATCATGGAGCATTGATTTGAGAAATTTTCCTCTATGTGTCACATATATTGAAATCATCATCGGTGTTGATCCCAGTTTAAATATTTTCACATCTATGAAAGAAATCATTGAAATATTACAGAGAAATTTTAATAGCTTGGCTTTTAGTATTAAAATCATCAAATTTTCACTGAGAGATGTCACAGGACTTTTGGTTGTGGATCACTGACTGTCAAAACCCAACAATAGAAACTTAACAAACATTTTGAATAACCAAATCATATTTTTCTATCTGTTAGGTATACAATTAAGTAGCTGTGGAAATATTGCAAAGAGTAATCGTTGTAGACACTGATGTAGATTGAAAGGAAGACTCTATTCATTGTCTTCCAAAGGGGAGAGATGGATGCCAATGAGCAAAAGGGAGGGAGAAATAGCATGCAATATATAATTGGTTATAGAGATACTGAAGCCTACAAAAGGTTTTTCTTTTTTTTCCCCCTTCCTGACACAGTGATTTAATAATAGTCCTGGTGTTTGTAACTCCAGCTGTTCACGCTGTGT